GGGGGGGGGGGGGGGGGGGGATACAAGGGCTTCCAATGGAATTTCTGGACGAAATAATGTTTTTGAAATATTTTCACAAAAATCAAGAGGATAATAAAAAATCATGAAAAAATCACGAAATATGAAAACTTTCACGTGCGCGGGTGACGGTAAACTGATATTTCATTTCCTTTGGTCTAAAGTACGTTTGTACAGGCACCAGCAGGCAATTCTCGGCACCGGCAAGAATCTAACCTACCCTCGGTACGACGACGGATGGATTTCCAAGAAAAGGTTGCAATAGATCGACGATAGGAAATTGAATATCCAACTGAGCCGGTCGAATATCTTCTGATTATTTCAGTGTCGGTTATACAGTTTTATTATTAGTTTAGTATCTACAAACGAGTCTAAGAAATAAAAGTTGATATTTACATTTCAATTAACAAAATTACTCAATAAAAATTACTATTAAAAGTACTCAGTACATTTCTTGCCTTATTTGTATATCATACTTCTTACTGCTTATACAATTATAATTATTTATAATATTTACAATTTTATGTTATACTACTGGTCGTTAGAAAAGGATGCATAATGTCTTATTGTCATATTGATATTGTTGTAATCAAAAATTCTAAATTATTTTATAAATTGCATGAATGATTGGACCCCCATCATAATCTACCACAATAAAGAAGACGAGAGGGATGATCATAGGCATAGCAGAAAACGATGGCACGGTCTATATTGTGATTTTAACCCAATATAAATAAATATCGGGATAAAATCGATATTGGTAAGTATAGGACTATGTTGATATGTACATTTCAATTAACAAAATTACTCAATAAAAATTACTATTAAAAGTACTCAGTACATTTCTTGCCTTATTTGTATATGATACTTCTTACTGCTTATACAATTATAATTATTTAGTATTTACAATTTTATGTTATACTACTGGTCGTTAGAAAAGGATGCATAATGTCTTATTGTCATATTGATATTGTTGTAATCAAAAATTCTAAATTATTTTATAAATTGCATGAATGATTGGACCCCCATCATAATCTACCACAATAAAGAAGACGAGAGGGATGATCATAGGCATAGCAGAAAACGATGGCACGGTCTATATTGTGATTTTAACCCAATATAAATAAATATCGGGATAAAATCGATATTGGTAAGTATAGGACTATGAATATAATCTGAACCCCCAAAGCTAGCTTGTTGTTAGCATTCTTTCCTGAAAATGCATTGTTATAAAACAGTTAATGACTCCAATCCAGTCTTTTTCGTATAAACATAAGACATTTTGTATTTTCTAACTAGTTAGTCTGATCGATGATGACTTTGTAATAAACTCAGTTCTCGTCTTGTTTTAATCCGTATATCTCAAGATGACAATCTTCGGACTGTGTTTTGTTTCTAGTTACGTACTAATTATAGCCCGGTTTACTTTCTAAACAACTGAAATTTTCGGTTCTCACAGGATCAGGAAAATTCTTAATTCTATATGCTACCTTTTTATTTCTGAGGATTATTTGTCGACTTAATTAAATTTTTCATGCTTTGCCAAATGATCGTATTAGCTCAAGCATGCAACATAAATGCACCAAAGAAAGCTGAACTTTCGTTGAAAAAATATTCCCTCCTAATTTTCGTTCCTACCCATATTGTCTGGCCCTTGTAAATTTTAAAAATACCACTTATAAACTGAGTATGGTATGGTTTATGAAAATCAACAATACTGTAGATCGCCTTCAAGATTCTCTTGTTGTCGATATATACATTGAAACCAGTATAAGTGTTATTCCGATCAAAATAATACATTTGACTGTAAACAAAGTAAACTCCATCAACGTTGATTCTTAAACGACCGTCGTCGTACTTCATTTTTCCAGATAGGTGTTGTTTTTTCCAGGATGTTACTCTATAAACATCTAAAAAGAAATAAAAAGTTCATCAGGAATCATCAAAAATATGAGTCAACAGCGTTTCTAAACGATTTAGCATTATACATCGACATTCCATACATCACAAGAATGACGTAAACGAGCGGAAGCTTGTCACCCTTAATGATGCACTGATTACGACGTTAGATATCCATGCTCCAGTTAAAACCTAAGATCAAAAGTTGCCCTTGTCCGTATGTTACAGTTGAGATTAAAACCCTCATGAGAAAAATTGATACTTTGCATCGAATTTTCTTTATGACCAGAAGGGATTCAGACTGGAATAATTACAAATTGATAATTAATCAAGTACTAGTTAAAGTCATACTCAAACAGGCAGAAGAAAACTATATGAAAAGAAACGGTTTGCAACACAAGAATAATTGTACCTCGTCATGGAAAATAATCAACCGATGCATCCCTTCAAAGTCAACAACAAAATCAACTTACTCCAAAGATCCACTGACTGTAGCGAATGAGTTTAAGTTAATAAATACTTTTCTTCTGTATTATAGGGTCATTAACTTTCCAAAAAGTCACTCAATTGGCGTTAGACCACAACATGAGACACTGAATATCGCAGTTACTAATGCAATCCTTGCAGCGATGGATAAGAAACTGTTATCTGCTTTCATTTTAATAGTTCTCTCTAAAGCGTATGACAGTATAGATTATCTCATTTTATTACGTAAACTGAGTAAGATATAGGCGCTTCTCCTGCCAAAACCGGAAATTTGGTTTTCGGGTGGGGGCTGCGAGCAGGTTAAACTCAGCCTACTTCAACTCAAGAATCAGTTCTGTTTCTGGTCAGTGACAGTGGGTTTGTCCAAAATTGACGCGACGATGCGGCTTTTTCACTTCTTTACAATCTTATTAAGCTTTAAAGAAGGGCATTTTGGAAAAATGAGTGAGTATTGTTCGTACAGTTAAAGTGTATATAATATATATATATATATATATATATATATATATATATATATATATATATATATATATATATATATATATATATATATATATATATATATATTATGCTTCTAAATTAAACTGTCATCAACTTTGAGGATTTAATCGAATAAAATGAGAACCGTATAGTGTAAAAATACATTAATAATTCACTGAGGAAAAACGAAGGAAATCGCTGCCGTGTCGGTGGTTTTATATGTGATAACAAGTTATATTCATTTTTATAACCTTTAGCTTGGCTTTTCTCAGCTTAGACAACGTTTATTTTTAAAATTAACGTTAATTAACTACTCAGATGGGGTGTTTTTTCATTAAAACATTCGCAGTCCGTGCTTTATTAACAGATATAAAACACGACATGCGCAGCTCATAAAAGAACTCCTACTCAGAAGTGCACTCAGGCTAGTCACACTTGGAGAACTGCCAAACAGTTATGAATTAACGGAAAGCGTTAATCAAACCGTTTATCTGCGTGGTTAAATACTATATCGTGTACTCCTATTTTATACAAATTATGAAAATAAGGATTTATTTACTTGACGTTAAGGACCTTAAACGTCAAGGTAAAACAGGAGTTGGATGTTAGAGGATTAATAGGGAATTAAGTTTGACTTAAAGATCCACCAACTCAAACTAACATAAAAACCACCCCCTTAACTGATTGACATTCAAAGACCCACCACCTCAAACTGGCATCCAAAAACCCACCCCGGCCTTGAATTGACATCCAAAGACCAGCCACCCCAAGCTGACATCCAAAGACCCAGCACCTCAAACTGACATCCAAAGACCCACCCCCTCAAACTGACATCCAAAGTCCCGTTGCCCTCAACTGGCATCCAGGGACCCACTCCCTCAAACTAACATCCAAAGAATCGCGCGCCGCCTCATATAAATTTACCTCCGGGAGGTGGAGCTGATTGAACGACATTTCCTGTCCCAACAATATGAGCTGATTCATTATACTAAAAACATTAAGAAATAGAGATATTATTATTGCTGGCGCATTGTTGGGGACGTTAAGTTAGATTTTTAAGAAAAAATATTTCACAAACTTGTTAGTATGCTTTAACAGTCACAAAAGATGACAATGCGACATCGATATTAATCACCTTTGAACATAATGGATTATACTACAATCCTGGAAAAATTATGTGGACAGCGCGGGCGCGGAAATTGTCTTGCGCAATTATCATATACGTGCAAAAACAGCAATTTTTAACTCCCACCTCCCCCGGTTCAATGTTGACAGCTTATAAAGTGGTTAGGTGAAAACTTTGTGAAATGCCTGTAGAAACAACATTGTATAGGGGGAGACAAAGCCGACATGTGTAAGCGAACAGTAGTATTTTACGTCTCCAGGAAATTTTTGCCATGATTGTGGCTATAAATGCTGACGGATAAAAGGCATGTTTCCATACACTAAAAACTACAGTTTGTTAGATTTATCCAAATCCGCAAGATTCTCGTACTTGAATCATTTTACTAGTCATCACTCTGGTAACTAACCATTAACGTTTGTCCCGCCTGTCCTCTGTTACCTGAAACAAACAATTCAGCACAATGTGATAACTGAATGAAAAATATGTTGTTATACATTATTATATTGATGCGCACATTATAAAATTGTACAATGTGCATTCCGTAGATTTAAACATTCTTAACAATCGCTGCTGATCACTTTTCACTTCATACCGTAAATGATGTGATAAACGCCTTTGGCGACTTTATTACTGAGGAGTTTATTTTTTAACTCCATTTTAACATTCAGTATTTAACAAACCTATAACTCTTGCCGGTTTATATGTTTAATTATAATAATATATGTTTAATTATGTATATAATAAATGACCCTGTAGGGGGGGGGACATGTTTATTAGATAGAGAGCATTTAATACAGAGGAACATCTTACAAAACTCTGCGATGATTTTGAGTGGCCGGAAGTTTATTATATCATTTACGGATACTGATCCACCATTATATCCACGATTTACTTCATCCATGCACGAGCCACCAGCACAGAACTCTTACCCGCGCTAGTCACTTTACGACTAAATGGCGAAAAAAACTGGCTAATTGGTTTTTGTTTTTCTTCTACCTTTTGGACCGTTCATTCCTGGGTTACCAGTTTCTCCTAAAACGACGAAATAATACTTTAGTTAGGAATAGACTTCTTTTGTTATATGCGGCATGTTATTTCAGATGGTCTCAGTCAATTATAATGACTGAGAAGGACTTTGCATGATGCAACCAATTTCTTCGGGTGAAATTTAATTAAATTTAATGAAATTTAATTCTTTGAAAAAGTACATATTTTCATGCGCACTGATATTGTTTAAAACCAGTATAGAAGTTCCATCCTGCGTGCCATACAACGTACATATGACATGCTATTACTTCAAGTATACCAAATGTGGGAGGGGGAGAAACGGATGATGACAAAGCTTGCACTAATCCGTGGATGAATAACTTTTGAAAGTGAAGTTTACCTTTATTCCCCTTTCCACCTGTTCTTCCCATATTACCATCGTTACCTCTCTCTCCTTTTTCACCTATGTCTCCCTTAGGTCCTCGACTCCCTCTGTCTCCGCGATCCCCTCGTTCCCCTCGAGATCCCTGTAGTCCAGGTTTGCCCTGCTCGCCAGTATGGCCTGCATGGGTAAATGAGAAATGATGGAAATTTGAACGTTTTTTAATTTCATTTATAACAGTATGTCTTAATTCCTAGCCTGTATACAATACAGGTGTAAATTCATGCGTGAACAGGCTTAGAACATGTTGAATATTTCGTAAATACTACAGTACGTGACATATCATGACCGCCACGTGATTTGGTTTTTGAAACTTAACTATAGCTACTGGACGTCAATGTCCGCCATCTTGACTTCACTTTTCTCATAGGCCAAATGACTGAAGTTCTTGCTCCAGATATATATATATATATAGCGCTCACTGCTTGTGCTAAATCAAAATTCGAAATTTCGGCACACTCCTCACTGGCAGCTTCGTGTACGACCGCGCAGATAAAAACAGTAGAAAGGTGGTGGTGTCCAATAGCTCTTCAATTTCCGCCCAGGGTTGGTAGATTGGCTTTTTTGAGGCCATGAATTTTTCAAAAATCATTGATTATTTTGAAATAAAGCATTAACTTTACCAGGTTGATTCCATATTTACTTCTATTCATTGTCAGAAATAACCGGTTGTAATTCTGGGCGCCAATCAGGATTCAGCTGAAATCCAGCTGATTAAACAGCTGACTAAACTTTAATCAATCATGATTGAGGATATCACTGTGTTCGCAGTAGTCTGCATTTGGCTTCTTTTTGGCTTATTTTGAACAAAAGTTGTTTGGCCTCTTTTGGTAAATTTTGGCTGTTGGTGTTTCTTTTATAACTTTATAATTAATGAGAAATTAAAACACAAAGGAATGTAATATTGTTGCGTACACCCGGTCCGCACGTTGTATAAGCCAATAATTAAGACTAGTCTCGAGATTAGTCGTTTCAGTTACGTTTAATAATTGCAATAACTGACCAGGTTTGTAATTTCACACATACAACATTACCCTGACCCAATACTAACCCAATCTGGGTTACAACATGTGGATGGGGTGTTGCGAATTCCAATGGCACAGCTAGCCATAGCAACAGGTTATGCTATTCAAATTTAATGATTTGCATTATTCAAATCTTTAGGAATATACAATTACTTTATGGTTTCCGTGTTTGGATCCTGATCCAAACACGCAGGAATGTTGCGAGAGTTAAGAAAAGCGAGCGAAACACGAGCCGAAGGCGAGTGATTTTGCCCGCTTTTCTTAACTCGAGCAACATTCCCAAGTGTTTGGATCAGGCCATCCAAACACGGAAACCATAAAGTAATTGTTTTATAAAATAACAACAACACGATAGTCTTCCGTGTTTGGATGGCCTGATCCAAACACGGGTTTCGACCACTCAGAGCACGCGTTGTATACATGTTATTTTATAATGTATATTGCCTTTAACCTATTTAATTAGCATGGCCATGACTAGCTTCGCCACAGCGAATTCTATAAATTTTATAAATTCTAAAAACGAGTTTTTGTTGACATATGCTGGATTACAACATTTCAATTCTTACCACGTTTGCCTCTCCTTCCTTTGGTACCTATAGAATAAATGGGACGTAAAAATTAGATTTTAGAGACACATGATCGATAAAATATTTTATTTTGAAACGATAAATTTAAATTCATTGTTAAAATTCTTCATTTAAAAGTTTAATTTTCTTTACCTTTCTCACCTTTCTCACCCACACATTTCTTGGTGCATCCTGGAAAAGATGAAACAGAATAAGTTCACCGAATCACCCGACGAATACGTCTATTTTTCTCTTTCAACACAGTAATACCACAGTAATAACAATGTTTCAAATTTTAAAATATTTTTTGTATCGCCATATTTTTTACGTTTTCAAAATTCAAATCTATTGATGTTTCTAAGTTTTCAAATATTTTTACAGAAAATTGAGACGTATTACTATTACTGATATCTGCATTGCCATTCACTATTTTAAAAGTTAACGTTATATCTGTGAAACTTTTTTTTGCCTCGACAAAGAGCATTAGTGAGAAGTGAATAGGTTTTGCCGACTATCTTCAATGTTTCGCATTCCAAACAACCGTACTCGGTTGCTAAACGAGAGAGTGTGCATGTCGTAATCATTACACTGGGTGCCAGAGGTTTTTCCACGCTCGCAAATAAAAACTCACGTTAAATAGCAACGGGCTGCCTAGTAGCCTTTACAATAATTGGGGTATTAATTTCTGCGATCGAGAGAGGAACAACCTCTGGCACCCAGCTGGGTAACGTACGCTGGAGAATTGGCGAAACGGTAAAAACTCGTTGACTTTCCTTAGAATTTAAGTCGGGCAACCATGCTCCGATGTTCATTGTATTAATTTGGTGTATCTTTACTCGTTCTACTCGCCCAGCGATTATATTCGACGATGGATCGAGAGGGCACGAAGGCAAACATGAAAGAATATAGAGATATAACTCTATTATTTTTATTTTGGTTATTTCATAAAGATGAATGTGCATGACTGTCTGTTATATGTTTGAAGTAACTTTGAACATAATCTGTAAGGGTATTGGAAAGAGTGTATTTTTCTACTTTTGCAACTGAATTCTTCGACGATTGGACGTCAGCGCAGCGCCACATCCTGACATCCATTACCATGCATGCAAAATTAATGTTTCACATTCCAACCACGCAACTTCGCCTGCCGTAGTTGCTTTCTTAGTTATTTATTCTTTGTTATTTCCCAGTTAAACTAAAGCAGCTTTGTGCCGCGTGATTGATATATATTGTATATAATAATCAGTCAGTTTCAAAAAGCTTCAGAGAGCTAGACGTGCGCAATGTCATGTTTTTTACTGTTAAAAATGTCACTGTGGAGTGTCGGTATAGTATTCGCAAACGCAGTTTTTCCGGTCACTTGAAGATATTTAATACTATGAACTGATCTAAACTGGCGGAAATTGACTCGCCATAACCGCTGCATGAAAATAGAAATCAATTAATTTTAATATTATTCATTTATGTCGTGCTAAGTGATCACATTGTTCATTGTTGTATTGTCGCTCTGTATATCTAACATGAGTATCATGAGCATACGACCAAACATATTCCCAATCACATGTTGTGACAATTGTTGTTTTTTACAGATATTCAAATCTGTACATTTGCCCCAAACCCGTGCTTATCACACAATCACACCGACTTACTTGCAACTTTTTTATTGTCTCTTTTCTTCTCTTGTCCTCTTCTCACCCGCGGTCCACTGTACATGTCGTCCATTTCCTGCAGGTTTCAAAATATCACTCATTGACAGTATTTGTTCATTTTACTGACGTTTTCTTTGCCGGGCATTGTGTTATTATACAGTGCCGATAACAACAAATCTCAACATATCTTGAGCTCATTCGTTTTAATAACTTTGCAGTGAGTTCAGTGAAGTGTCCTCAGTGATCATTTATATATCATCACATACTACAAAGGACAATTCACTGTCACAGTCTGTAGTCTGTACCATGCAACACTAGCGCACAGCAGCTCATATATTCCGAGCTTACTGTCTACTGATTATGCACATTTTATGATATTCTTCAGTAGGTTTAGACTTAGTGGTGTAGTTCATAACTTATAAAGACTTTAGTAAGTTTAGTGTCCTCAGCAGTCAATACGCAGTATATATGCTCTGCTGAGGATTGGCAAACATCCATACTATGAGGCGTACAAGAAAGAAGTCCTCGTATATCTAATTGAGATTCAACAATACACGACTACATAGGATTATTCAAGTGTTAATGTTTCTACCTTGTCTTTCTGAACAAGCATATTACGTTCAGCATTTGTATAAACCGCAGTATCAACAGCTTGAGACTGATGTTTGTCTTCTCGTGTGTTCAACATTTGCCTCAACTCTGCAATATTCTGTTCATGGCGGTATATAGTTACCCACGCTAGCACGAGACCACTCGTGAGTAAAAGAGCATACAACAGGCCAATGTGTACGACGTATATTGGGAGCTCCACATATCTCGCTTTAGAGGCCATCTCAATCTACATTCCTACACAGCTGATGCACGTAAGGGCTTCGTGTGTACACTTCTTCGGGTCGGAAACCTCGAGCTCGGTGTGTCGATGCGGGTCAGAGTCGAGTTCTTCCAGGAAAAAGCTGTTTGTTTATGTGTACGAGATGTTATTAATGTTTCGTCATTAATATTCAGTGAGCTGGAACATTATATTGTTTTGATATATGTCTAAAGCACGTAATTGAAACTCTTCCGAAACTTTGGCAACATTGTAACGTACATATTTGGATATACTTATCAATGTTAATGAATAATGTGCTGATCAAGAATGACTCGGTTAAATGATTGCAATTTTCAAGGTGATTAACGTATAACTAGTGGAGCAATCTGCAGCATGCAGAGACTTTTGTTATGGTAAAATTGTTTGCTGAAAATAGACGTCCTTCAACTTCCTGTCGGGAACAGTTCCATAATTAGTTAATAATTTTGACCCTAGCTGTCGTTGATTTTATCTTTGCATAATTCTTAAAGGATTATTAAAAATAACATTAAAAGCTTTCTAAATTGATCATAATTATGATTGCCTTAAGTGAACTTTAAGTGACTATGTGCATTATTGCTGTATCTAAGCTGGGCTAATATATTTCCGGTATCTCTGATTAAAGTCAAGAATAAAATGATTTAAGGCATTTGTTGTGAGCCATTCTCATGCCTTATGCAGGTTCCGTTAATTACTGAAGATCATTCTATCCACAACGTTTTGACAATGTCATATTTTCTTTTAATTTATAATATGGCTGACACAAATATTGAATAAAAATACATTCACAACCATTTCTCCCAAAACGTCCGCAACATACAAATACACAATTGTGTCGAAAGATTGAGCATATATATTTACGACGTTAGTATCCATTGTTGTTTGATTGTATTCTGTTATCCATCCTCATTTTCAATTGCAACAGATCAAATTGTCGAAGTATTTTAATTCATTTTCAGGTAGGTAGACCAAACCAGTTTGACACTTGTTAAAACACTTAACTTTCACGTTCGTATAATTCTGACTAATGGCTTTAACCAAACTCTCTATCATTATTCACTAGGTCAAATATTACCCTCATCTGACCATGCGGATATCAGTCAAGCATATGACAAGGTACACGAACCAAGAGACACTGTATTCAGTTCAACTGTGGTTCGCATTACTTACAGTAAGTTATTTAGTTCCAAAATGTATTAAATTTATTTCAGACACATTTTTAATGAAAAATAGGCACTCTAGTGTATATGCGTGTACTGCCATATAGAAATGAATTCACTCACTCAGTCCTGCCTTCCTTCCTTTCCTTTCTTCCTTTCCCTTCCTTCTTTCCTCCCTTCCTTCCTTCCTTCCTTCCTTCTTTCCTCCCTCCCTCCCTCCCTCCTTCCTTCCTTCCTTCCTTTCTTCCTTCCCTCCTTCTTTCCTTTCTTCCTTCCTTCCTTCCTTCCTTCCTTCCTTTCTTCCTTCCCTCCTTCTTTCCTTTCTTCCTTCCTTCCTTCCTTACTTCCTTCCTTCCTTCCATCCTTCCTTCCTTCCTTCCCTCCTTCCTTCCT